GGAACTGTTAATAAATAGGCGTACGGGCAATTTTTTGCCAGGTGGGAGGGGGAAAGGGGCGTAAACCAGATGCCCATAAACTTGGCGCAAGTTGCCCAAATTTTTGCGAAACAGTAAAAAAGAAACGAGGGGCGTAAGATGCGCTAACATAGGGCTAAATATGAAGTGAAAATATTCTTACATACAAATGTATCACATGAGCTCATAAAACACATTAAAAGAAATGGCTGTATTTGCCATTCTTATGACGACCGAAGATATCAATGATACGATCATGTTACTGACGATTTTACTGACTCGTTGTTGCCCCACAGTGCTGCGGGGGTAAGTTTTCAATCTGCGAAACGCACAGAATGATCATTCTGCAGAACACAATCTAGCAGGTACCACTCCAGGGATATGTACCACATTAGAAAACACTGGAAACATATCAAATAGATCATTTTCGTGCGTTGTCTCCAGAGTTTCTGGAACGGTCATGTAGCCTAAACTATTCATTTGCAATTTTCGAAGCTTATCTAATAAATTCCCTACGATTTTCTGAATTTTTTATAGTTCTCAGATTACACTCCCCAGGTTAGGCTATTTTCGGTAGGAAAAAGGGAACCTAAAATTTTCGGATTCAAAAATGTGATGGAGAGAGGAATAAAAAAAATTTCTCTTTTGCAATTCGTTAAATTGCTTCTAAAATTTTTGGGAAAATAATACTGAAGCCCTTGTCTTAAAATCCGAAAAGACTTAAGTTCCCTTGATGATCGAACAGATAAACATTTCATAGCATCGCTTTGAATGCATTTCTAGAGGTCTAAAAGTACTCTTGATAGCGTCAAAAGTGTTTTCAACGCATTTTGGAGGAAACCGTTGTTGGGTGCCTCTGGTGAATAGTTGGCTCCAGTTCACGGGAGTTGGTCCAAGTTACATTGTTTCAATTTCATTAGCATACATCACCATACCCAAAAACAAAAGAAAACGAAAAATCACCTGAGATAGAAAGTTAGCTAAAACATAAATACGTGGGGACTTCCAATATAGTAGAGAGAAGGGCAGGATGAAAAAGGACTGCAAACTAAACAGTGGACAAGACGCTTTTAAATACAGCTAAGAATCACTTTTACTGGTCAACTAAACCGAAATCCTGCTCATTAAAACAAGGGTTCGAGTTTTTGGATACTTGATTGAAAGTTTTATTTGGGCTGTACGATTTGAAAGCAAACACATTTAAGCTGATAGGATCTAAATTTCGGACCCCTGGTTTCAAAACAAAATGGGAGTGCAGTCGCACAAACATAGGGTCCTAAAACCGAACCCTTAGTTCAATGTTACAATTTTGAACAGTAGCTGGTGAGCAATAAATGGCTAAAAAAGAACTATTTAGTGTAGGGCTTTTTACAAGGTACAGCACCAAATTTTGGACCCTTCAATTGAACCCTGTGTGGTAAGCAATTTAAAACTGAGGTCTGGAATACATCTTCCTTAAGTATCATAAAGTGACCTTACTTAGGACAATAAAAAATACTACGCTTAAAACGACTATTTTCGTTATTTTGTTAAAGGATTGAAGTCCTCCAAAAATGGAAGAAAAACCTGTTTTTTTCGTCAAATTGGTAAAATGAAAAAACTGAAAATAGAGTGGAAAGAGTCTTTAGTACGTGATCCTTTTTAACTATCTTTTTTCAGTTCTGTTCTTTTTTTTTTTTTTTGTAGATGCAAGAAGAGAAATTGCTGAAAGGTAGGCAAAGAAATGCCCAATGCTCATAATTGCGTTGTTGTATTATTATGTCTGTATAGTTTCACGATTCTTGCTGAAGAACATTTACATGTATTATCAAGAAATTTCATGCTCTAAAATGCTGCTTTTTTCATTCAGGATTCAGCTTGAAAATCAGGGCAGCTCTTTGAATCCAACACAGAATGCAGCGGCCACACAACTCAGTGGGATGTCAGGTGAAATCGGAGATGGAAGACATGAACTTGAAACAACACGACAGCCTCGCAGGACGGATTGTGGGTACACCATGTTGAGTCAGTGTACAATGGTAAGTCCAACTTCTTATGCCGACGATTTACAACTTAAACGACAGTGAAAAAGAAGAAGCTTCTCTTTGCTCTGTTAGATGATAAATCTTCAATCATTAAATTGTTATAGCATGTAACCCTATTGTCTTGCTTCCTGCTGCTGGGAAGAGAAGGGGAGATCAAAGATACGGTTTATAATTTTAGAGCCGCTCATGATGCGGCCACCAAAAATTACACATAATAATGCACTCAGCATTTTCAACATCAAGGTGTAGTTAATCTGCATGATGTCAACATTAGGTCATATTAAACTTCCTAGCAGAACCTAAATTTCATCAAGTTATTCAAAAAACCTTCAACAATCCCTCCGGTCTGAGTTGGAGTTAGAGAATAATTCATTGTAATGGTAGGGTGATGAGCGTTAGCTGACAGACAGTATGACCATTGGTTCTTGAACAGATTTCGTTATTGCTTCATCTGTTATTATTACTTCATTTAATGTCCTTTTCTAACTAATTCTTTCTTTCGTTAATTTTTCAGACACAAAGTGAAAGAGTCTACGCTTCACTTACAGCTTGTGAATCAGCAAATAGTAACCGCAACAGACCCTGCAATAAATCACCGATATACGTCAATCAAGGATTAGCTTTTCTCCCTGGTCTACACAACAACTGATGTTTTGCGGTTTAGAATTTAACCCTGTTGGAAAACAAATTGAAATAATGATTTCAACCGGCTAAAAGAATGTATTGTGTGCAATTTGTAACGTGTAATTTAGTGGAATTCATACTATTTTTTTTAAGAAACTTTTTAAATTAAATTGTTCACGATGAGATTAACAAAAATTTTAAGAATGTACTAAGAACATACCCAGGCTCAGACTCTATTAAGAACGTGTTTCTATCTCTCCTCTGAGTCTCTCTTTGTGCGACTGGAAGGCTGTACGGAAAGGCAATAAGAACAGACAGATTAACCCGGCCTTTGTATACATCGCACTTTGTTTCTCAACGTATAGATGGTTTTCACGGTGACGTCATCAAATTTTAAAGTCAAAATAATGAGGTTTTACGAATTCTTATTTACCCTAGGTTGAAGATAAACAAAAAATAAATCTTTGTACAAGTTTCCAGTCCCGCAGCATGTTCCATTTCGAAATTACAGCAATTTGAACTTCCGAGTTTTCACAGTGCGTGACACCAAAATAGGAATGCTGTCTCGTTGAAAAAATGTCTCTCCTCCTGATTTTCAGCAGTTTAACCTCTAGATCTTCTAGTAATAGAAGATGTGTTTATGTGTACATATGCTAGCTCTCGAGTGAAAAGAAAGAACTTTTATAGAAAAAGTGAACTCCAGATGGTTTTATTGATTTCCGGCGGCCATTTTTGTTTACCAAAACTGTACACAAATATGGCGTCTCCATCATGAAAGCTCTACAAAGGTGCGTAAAACGTTTCGGCAAATAACTCAGAAACTGTGGGCCGTAAAGACCTGAGACTTGCACAAATTGTTTATACATTAGTCTTTTATCACATTTCGTTTTCTTGGCTTCTTCCACTGAACGGTTTCCAATTTATTTTTTGGGGGCCGTGTTTATTGCGTGACGGTGAAAACGATCTATTGAATTATGTCGTCCAGTTCTTTCGCCTCAAATGTGTTCCAAAAATTATTGGCTAAGATCCATATATCAACGAAGGCACTTCAAGACTTGCCCAACTTTATATATTCGAAGCTTTGAAATTAAGTCGACTGTCTATAGACGATAATAAATTTACAACCTGCTTGACCCATTTTAACTATTTCCAACAACTCTTATCTTATAATCATTCATTTTGTTAATACTGACAACGTAAGCTAGTCATGAGGAAACCAGTGATGCCAGCATAACTACCCAAAAGATGCTATTGAAACCTAAGTCTACTAGGAAATTTTGGAAAATTAGGATACCCACTATTCCGTTCAAATGTTTGCCGTTGTCAGCCTTGTTAAGTTATATAATGAATTTGTCTTGCTTTGTCATTCTAATGGGATAATAGCGCTCGAATGTTCCCTCTCACGGTAACAACAATATCATATTTGTAACAAATTTCACACGACTTACTTAAGCACCAAATTATAGGAGGAGCCAATTAAGAACAATTTCCTAATTTTTCTTTTTCGCTTCAACGTCCTGGTTTGTTTTAAGATTATATTGATATTAACTTAATAACCTTTTCCGCAAATTTTGGACATCTAGTTGGTTATAAGGTAAAAAAAAGTGTAAAGCTTCCTTCATGGTTTCAGAGCTTAAATTGAACCCAATTAGCGTAATATTTAACAATTAATGAATGAGGCTGAGTATCTTATAAAGAATTTTCATGGAGTTCCAGATCTCCATAGTTCTTCATATGATACGAAAGCTGAATTCAATAATTGTTTTATTATTCATTCAAAATAATTGCTAGTTTAAAAACATAGCTAAAACATGCTTACCTCCATCGATGTTAAGCTCATCTTCGATAATGCACGTTTAGGGTTGTTCAAGTCCGCAAATATTCTCCAGATAGCAGATGTCGCCCTTTTAGTTGTCTTCTTGCTGTTCTTGCCATGTTTTAGCTATTATCTCACCTAGTTCTTACTCTTGAAATGCGTAAAATGTCCGCAATTCTTATTTTCGCAACCAAAACAACACAACCTCGTCCCCAGGTCTTCTCGGTTAACGACGCATTAACCTGCAAGGAAGCTGTACTTTTGACGTCATCGGTTGATTAGTTGCAAAATTCTTCCAAATTTGGTGATCAGTAGCTGGTTATGGTGAATTATGCGCGTGCTTTAAGCTAATCAGAATCGGGGAAATCTTTTCAATGAATAATAATTTAAAATAAGCTATACGTAACCTTTCAGGTCTGGATAAATACCAACAGTGTTTAAGCGGAGAGGTAAGTGAAAGAGCTGAGGCACTGTTTAAATGCTGAAACGAACTCCTTGGTTGTGCTGTCGATGTTATTATGGCTAACAAACTTCTTCCAGTGGATGTACTTTTTACACTAATGGGACTGTGTCTACAAGTATTGGCCAAAAATGGTAAGATAAGATAAACATGGTCAAACAATAAATTATCAAAAAAAAGTCGTTTTCGAAGCTCATAGCGCAGCAATCGTAGGTCGCCTAAACCGCCCGCTAGATAAATTGGCGCCAACCCTATTTTCGGTAGGTTGACGATAATTATTGAGTTTCTGAGACTGATGTAAGGTGCAAGAAAACTTGCCGTGAACACAAAATTGGCATTGGAAACAAAATATTGCATTTCAAGACATATAAGAGCTGTGACAATGCAAGTCATATGCTTCTTCCTTAATTTCAAGGTTGGAAGCAAATAAATTGAATTAACTAGTGCCCTTAAAATCATAGTACACTGGATTGCTTTCTTATAGTCTCTTCTGACTGTTGAAATGCACTATTTTGTTGCTGTGAACCAACATAATCAAACATTTCTAACTAACTCCAATCTAATACTTTCATTGCACTAAAATTTTGTTCAAACGCAGCCCCCAAATCAAGTTCCATTTTCATATTGTTTGTCTTAGCTTTCCAGAGAACTTATTTCGCAGTTATTTCGTCTCCACCGGAACAGTTAACCAGCGCGTCCATTTCAGTCGGTAATTACCGGTAACAACCCAAATTTTGTGGTCTTTTTAAGAATTAACAGTTTTTCAGCACCGTGTAGAAAAGACCTTACAGAGTACGTATTGTACCCTTAACCCTGCATGCCTCTAGTACATGATTGGGAATCTCAGTCAAGTTTTATAGTTTTACAAATGAGTGGTTAATACTGTTACACTTCTTGTGTAATCTTGATCGATCGATCAATATTACACAGGAAGTTACTTATAAGTTTATTTAGTCCCAAGTTCGAACTAGGCATGTCGATGTTTAAATTTATATAGCCCTTTACTCTATCAATAAAAACTTATACGATAGAAAAAGATAAACAAGAGTGATGATAATCTTTCATTATTTAAATATTCAGAGCTTCATAATTCTAGTGTAGGCCGCCGACTTATCAGCACCCACAGACGAAGCCAACAAAATGCAGTTTTCACTCCTTCCTGTTTTGTTTTTGGTTTTTGCATTATTTTTAGCAACGACGACTATATTCATCGGTAAGAGGTGTATTAAGATCGAATTAGCTTTTTGGGTCTACTACATTGTGGATAAGGCGTAAAATTTCCTTGGTTTTAGATCTTAAAATGTATCTTTTTACCCTAGAAATTTGGTTAAATAACCTTCACGGTTTTTCTGTTGTTGTTGTTGTTGTTGTTTTGTTTTTTTCTTTCTTTTCCTAACTGTATTTTATACTCCAAATAACCTAACTTGACAGTACAATAAACTACAATATAATTCATTCGAATTATTTCAGTCAGTCTGATTGCCTCAAATCTCAAGTTTAATCCCTCATTACTACCTAACATAACCTAGCAATGACAAAAATTGGAAGACTTTCCCGATATCCTGGAAATAAGGTCAGTATGATAATACTGAACACTGATACTAAGATGATACTAACCACCCCTTTACTTCCAATGCCCCTTCCCCATCCTTTTATCCCCTTTCCTATTCGACCGATGAGATGCATTCATATGTAATATAATATAATACTTATTACATATTATAATATAATACTTATGACATTCCTTTTTGTCAAGACCTGGAGATTGTTTACGATTGCTCCATTTACACATTTCATATGAAGTCCGAGATTACCTGGGAAAAAAGCAAGAATCTGTGTGAGCAAAGTGGTAGCAAGCTTGTTTCCATGGAACGTTTAACGGCTGAGTTGAGCTTTCTGACAAATTATTCAGAAATCTTTAAAATGAACACTACTGAATATTACATTGGATTAAAAATCTATGGCCACAAGTGGGTATGGATAAGTGATAACAGCAAATTAGAGGAGACTGAAACGGGGAAATTACCTTGGGCTACGGGTCAGCCAATGGGTGATGGAAATTGCGCTAAAATGTGGCGCACGAGCCCGTGGACTTATGAATATGACGACGTTAAATGCACGTCCATAACGACCAACATTGGATATATCTGTGAAAGGCCGTTGAAATCTTTGGAATGTGGTACAAATGGTCAGTCGTTAGAGATAGTGAATCATATGCACACCATGCTTGCTTGCTCTAGTACCGTCCACCAAATAAAAACTTAATTATGCACTAATAATAAGATTAAACAGGAAAGCTCTTAAAATCGGCGTTTAGTCTCGCTTGCTTGGAGACTAGATAAGAAATGAGGAGGTGATTAATTCTACACGAAACAGGATTTACTCGCTAAAGGTTCTTCACCTCCTAGTTATTTTATCGACGGTCAAGTATTTCAGGACATTTACTTTTATATCGTATTCGACGAAATGTTTCTGAATTGATTTAGTACGCGTGTTAGCGACGACCGGAGTTACGTTTGCGGTCGCAGGTTATACGAGTATGTCGGTTACACGAAAATTCTAAGGCCTCGATTCGAGAGAAATTACCTCACTGCCAAAGATAAAAAAAACGTGACGAGAACATGGCGCGTCATTTCAATCATCGCCGAAAATAAACCGCATGCTCAGCACAAGACTCATTTGCATACAGTGACAGTTTGCGACACCCGAGCAGTTAGCCTTTTCATAATTATAATTCTCCTTTTTTTCCGACCACCGTAGAGTTCACGTATTTCAAAGTAATCAACGTTTTCAAGCAATAGAATTCGTGGACAGAACCGTTCCGGAAAAGCTCTAAACCTAAGCTTTCTTCGCAAACATGCGTGGCTTCGGTCAAGCAACAATTCTTATTCCCAGTTTCCGCGGTCTCCGGTAGGAACGCCTGGGACAACAACCGTCGTTTTGTGCACTAAATACGAAGAAAAAACGGCTGCAGATCATGAGTCTCGCTGCTTACGTAAGCGAGACTAAACAGTAGAAAGTCGTTCATATGCGCTCATAGTAAAATATGTAGGCTTGACAGAACAAGAGATTCAGTGGTTAGGAGTTCAAGATGAGCCATTTCTCCAATCTGTTATGGGAAACCGTCAACGTCATACAGGCGACAAGTTTCAAGTTAACACATTGAAATGAACAAAGATGATCGTTACTCCCCCTTAAAAATTCAAAACTTTTTAAGACATAGATACCACATCGATAAAACCCAAAACAGAGCTACCGGAGTATTAGTTGTTGGTATGTTTTTGCTGATCGGGTATTCTTAAGATCCTACGTTCTGCAGCATAATCGTTTATCGTGGTCCTTTTGCAGTTATTATTGAAAAGTTTCAACCCCGTTTAACGAAACACGATTTGTGACGTCGTATGGAGGATGAAATCAGGTGACGGCATAATGCAACACTGCTTCAACGCGTACGATAAACTGTGTTAAATTTTACTTTTTCACTAAACAAACCACAGGCAGCCGAAACTCACGTTAAGAGGGAAGGGTGTAATGTAATTTACATACCATAGGTGACCCGCCGGTATCGCGTTACAGGCGACAGTTGAAAATATAAGAGCTTTGTATGAGAAATATATTACTGAGATCTGCGAACACTAAATAACGCTAAACCTTACTTTTTCTTAAATGAAATGAATAAAAAAGAGTTACCTGCAATGTATTCCACTGCATTTTGGTGTTTGATTGTCGTTTACTGTTTTTTCTTTGGCTATATTGCGTAACCACTGTTACTCCTTTCATAGAACGAAGTGAAGGCTGGTCACTTCGATCGGTCGGGGTCCTGGACCAGTCGCAACAAGAATGCCGTTTTTTTCGCCGAAATTCAAATCCACTGAAAACCTTTTCAGCTCCAGCCTAAAAGGGAAACCTCTTCTTCTTCTCTGGGAGATCGGCTCGAAAAAAGATCCCTAATTTCCCCATTAAATCGAGCCATTTTTGCCGGACGTCGAGGCACGTCTGGCTTTCGTCCAGTGCCTGTGACCACTGTTGCGCTTACCAACTAATTTGCATTATGACAATTAGCACTTACACGACGGATGCCAGGGCGGAAATGACACGTCATCTAGGCTCTTGCACTGTGAAAAAGCGAGTGCTTGCACCTGTCCTGTAAGTGCTTATTGTCATAATGCAAATTAGTTGGTAAGCGCAACAGTGGTCACAGCCCGGGGAGGGTACTCCTTTATAAGGGCTTAATGGGGACGTGCGGCCAGCCAGGGTATGTTTTTCGGGATTTTTATCTTAAACAGGGTATCGAATTCATCATTTTTTGTCTTAATCAGGGTATCGATTTATCAATTTTTGTCTTAAACTGGATAAATGTCTTAAACAGGGTATCAAAAATCGGAATTCTGTCGTAAACAGGGTAGGAAAATCAGCGGTATTTATCTTAAACAGGGTCAGGGTATGAGGGCCGCGCCGCACCTCCCTACCCAGGGATATATCGAGTACACCGATCTCCCAGAGAAGAAGAGGATTCCGTCTTGGGCTGGAGCTGAAAAGTTTGCAGTGGATTTGAATTTCGGTGAAGAAACGGCATTCTTGTTGCGACTGGTCTAGGACCACGACAGATCGAAGTGACCAGCCTTCACTTCGTTCTATGAAAAGAGTAACAGTGGTTATGCAATATTAATAAAGCAAAAAAAAAAACAGTAAAACGACAAACAGACACCAAAACGCAATGGAATACATTGCAGGTAAGTCTTTTTTATTTGTTTCATTTAAGAAAAAGTAAGGTTTAGCGTTATTTAGCGTTCGCAGATCTCAGTAATATATTTCTCATACAAAGTCTCTTATATTTTCAAAGCTCGCCTGTAACGCGACACCAGCGCGTCACCTATGGTATGTAAATTACATTACACCCTTCCCTCGTAACGTGAGTTTGGGCCGCCTGTGAACAACCTTATTTAAAAAATTCAAAATCTTAATACACCGTCCTGAGATACTCATAAATACTTTATAAATGATTCAGTGTGCACAGTCTGGTCTTTAACCTGCTGGATACATTCATTCATTGTATTTAGTTTTGAGATAGCCTATTCACAGACCCTCTATTCTCTCTTCAAAGTCCGTCGAGCGCGGGTGATAAAATATAAACCGTAGGGGCTTTATTGACCACCAGCGCAAGGGGGTAGGGGTGGGGGGAAGAAGAAAATAGACGGTATGTAGAGTCTGGGAGCAACCGAAATTTGCTTTTCCCAGGAAAAGCAAGTTACCATTGGCTGAACGGCGATTATCCTGTCATCATCATGTCAACGACTCATCACGCTCGCGTAATGCGAGTAGAAGCGTTAACCACGACACTTAATTGTAATTTGCATAAGCAAATAACATCGATTGAAAGCGCCGCTGACCTGTGAACCTGGCATGGAGACATAATACAAGCTTGTGTTGGCCATTTTGACCATAATTATCTTTTGTATCGAAGTGTAGACTATGGAAAGCGTGCTTCGACTGTTTGCCACAATTTTCAAGCAAATACGTGCACAAAGAAAAGCAGTGTCAGGCTGTTTTTGGTTTACTGGAAAACGTGGAATGTAGTTGCATCACCATTACAAAGTATTATCAATGATAAAGTAGAGGCCATGAGAGTAGCCGGCATTTCAGCCATTGCATTACCTTGCTGCGGAACCATGAGGTGATGAGTACATTCTGTTTTTTAAAAACCGAAAGCTATCATCGTCGTGCTCGCTTTCTTAAAAGCTGGCTTTACTCTCTCTCTCTCAAAAAAAGATTCTCTGTAGCTTTACGGGAACGGGATGATTACCCAGTAATATTGACGTATAAACAGCACCCACATATCCTACAATAATTTGATGGGCTTATTTGTTTCGGCTTCGGACAGTCTTTTAGCCGGCTTTTTTGGCGTAGAAACACGACTCCGAGTGCCATTGTTGTTTGATTGTAAAATACTTAAAACTCAGTACGGTAAACGCGGAGGTAATAATGATGAGGCGTTGACATGAGGGAGGGGCTTAATAAACCTCATTTTTTCCAAAGATGTCTACAGACATTCTTTATTTTTCTTTCTCGCGCGCTCGCCGATTTTTTCGAAAAGAACGAAAAGAAAAATAAAACATGTCTGTGTACAGGCTAGTTTTTAGATGAACAGCTAAAGCCTTCCTTTATTGTTACACGGCAGTGCACAGTCTCTTCTGCATTGATTATGAATGTACAGATGCAGTTAATTTACTGACATCATGTCGAATCCATGCATTTGCTCGATTTGTACTACAGAGCATAGAACTTCGTCTAAGCAATTCTCTTTTTAGAGAGGACAACTAAGTCACCAAAGCTGCCGAAAAGCACAGAACCTTCCCCAATCGGTGGATCATCTGTTGAGACAGTTATAATGAAACGGTCCACATCGTCTTCACAGAGTCAATCTACGACCAATGATTTGAGGCCACATTCATTTAAGGGTTCTACGACAATGGTAACGAAAGGTATGCCAATAAAACCATAAAGCAAATGTAGTACTTAGCAATTCTGCTTACGGATACATGACTGTTTTCACGCCTCCTTTACTGGCTACCGTTTTAAACTGAGTAGTCGTTCCCGGGCAAATGCAGTGACCCAAATAACTGCAACATTGATCTTTTTTTGGTGAACATACTATTTGATTTGTTCTCCAGGGCTGAGTTGCTCAAAGCAAGGTTAGCTTTAACCATTGGTTAAGCAGTATCAAAACCAATACGTTGTCAAGGTATTAAACGCTGGTTAACGCTAACCATGCTTCGAGCAACTGGGCCCAGATCTGCAGATCATCGGCAGTATACAAACTGAACCATTTCGTGTTAATCCTGTATTAATGGTTGCCAAGAGGGGATAATTTCTTGCATAGCTCAATGTTTTGACATTCGGCAACACTGCTAGTTATTGCACGTCAATGGCTTTTTTTTCCTCATATTGAAGCATTAGAACCAACAAACAATGCCAAATCCTCAGTGGTTCAGCTGTTCAGTGTTAGAGAGTCAAGGACACTTCCCGAACCAACCTCATTGGGAAAGTCCATCATGCCTATGACATATGCAAATCTTACAGATTAGTTGTTATTGTACTTAGCCGAAAGGGAGCAAAGTGGTTGGCCTTGTTTTCGTGTTTTTTTTTTTTTTTCGCACTTTTTCTCACAGATCTAGCCAAGATTTCATTCCAACAAAAAAGGCTCAATAGGTTTGAAAAATTAAAAAATGCTGGATTTAGGGTTATCGGGAATTAAAAGCAAGGGTAATAATTTGTAAACTAGAACCGCTACGTGAAACTTACCGGGGCCCAGTGTGACACGGGATTGCATAGATATAGTTTGTCTCTCACACCCCTCCCCCCTCCTCTGTGGAGGCTAATACTTAGTCTGAATTAACTCATGCAGAAGAAAAGCAACAAAATGCATGAGAAAGGAGGATGTTTTTGCAAGTTTGTTCAGTGTTATGACAGCTAACGGTCTGTGTTATAGTAGTGTTTTTACACCGTGATGTTAATAAGTAAGATCTGTATAAGGTTTTTATTTGTTTTTAAGCTTGTG